GTTATCCGCACAAGCCAACTAGATTTTACGATGTAAGATGTACCCAGCTATGCGGAATCTGTGTTCGATAGTAGATTTATTGACATGGACGAATCTAGACCGGTTGCAGGGATCAGAAATAGTTATTTGGATTAAATTACGTGCTATTAAGATCGCAGTTTGTGATAAATTCGGCCTAGTTTCAAATCAGATCGTTGATATTTGAAAATAGCGAATGTGTGTTATTTTAAGTAAGAAGAACTTTGAGATTCTATAATAGTCGATCAATTGAAATAATTCATAGGATTTTTTATTCTATATCAAAATTGTATATTAAATTAAATAAATAACTTGCAAGTCAATTTTTTTCTCAGTGATGCTTGACACACAACTACTTCTCTTTCAATCGCAGCACGCGTTGTTCAATTGATTCGCACGTGAGTTACATTTGCCTCGCGCGGCTTGTCAATGGAACTAAATTGGCAGTTAACTAACAAAGGAACATGTGTATTAAGGACACATCCACGTTCTAATTTCGCATTAACATAGATAGAACGCGTTCCAGTTGGGTAGAGCGTCCGTTTTCTGCTCAATTAAACTTACAATACAGCTTTACGACTATGGTTCTGTGATAGTCTTCGGAGAATAGATGGTAAGAGTATCGTTAAGAAGCTGTTTGAGGGGATTTTTAGGACAACGTCATAAAACTATAGTGGCAATTAAACAATAAAATGAAACGGTATTTGGGATAACTAATTTGTATAGGTTTAAGTGAAGTTAAAATATCAGATGTCATTGAACAAAATAGAAGACGAAGAAATGCACAATCGTTAGCAAAATATATGTAAAAATATACTTCTGCAAATGTTGCAAATCAAATATGTGTTTTAAATACCCACAGACTTACCACAACAATACGAAAAAACATTTTGACAACCGCTGACTCCATCGATAGATGTGCAGTTAACTCACATCCATGTATGTCTTTGAACATTTCTTTGCAATCATTTTGCATGAAACTTACACAATAAAAGATACAAGCCCCCGTAATAAAACTAAAATAGAAATTATGATAACCTTAAATAGCGCTCTATCTGCGGCTACACCTCTTTTTGTGTACAGAAGCGGTTCCAGAGGTCCCCAATAAGTTTAACAGTTTTGATTATTAATTTTAAAAGTATCGTTTCCAAGTTTCAGCGGTTTTGATCATTAACGCACTCTACTTACAACAAAAAAAAAATCCTCTGAAAGTTACCCTGTATAAATGTTTAATGTGTCTTGTAAAGACTTTGGATAATGTTTCCACCTGAAGATGGCAAGTTAGATGAGAACCAGTTAACATTTCCGGGAAAAATATTGATTCTACTATTACTTGAACTTTAATTCTTATTACTTATCTCTGCGTAAATAAATAATCTGTCAAAAAGTATCCGGAATTTGTAAATAAAAAACAATATATTCAATTAACCATCAAAATGTATTTTCTTCCTTCAAAATGTCCCAGTCGTCAAAACACTTTTTAAACGCATATTCCGGTGTGGACTTGAGTTTAGGAAAGAGGAAAAAGTCTTCAGGGGCATATCCGGATGATGACTTTCATTGAGTTTTTGGTTAAAAATTTATTCACAATTATCGCTTTGTGTAATGGTGAATTATCCTTCTATAAATCTGGTCTTTTATGGCGGATACTTTTTCTCTCTCTCAAACGCCTCACGACTTTTTTGACTTTTTGATTTTTGACTTTCGACTTTTGGCATGTTTTTTTTTTGTTTCAGCTCATTAGAAAAGCGCAATTTCCAAGCTCGTTGGCTTCAGCAACATGTTGGCGATGCTGCGACCCGTTTATATCCAAAACATCAACTAAAATGGTGTAACTGATTCGTGAGATTTGTTAAGTTGATATGCCAGCTCTATCAAACTATAATGACGGTTTGCAAGCTCCATTTCCTTTAATTTATCGATGTTCTCTTCAGTTGAAGTCGTTGAAGGACTACCAGAACGTGGCAAATCCTCAACCACTTCTCGACCATGCTTTGTACCATTCGTATTTTTGAGTTTTCGGTATAACTGAATTACCGTACTTCTTTCCTAAGCACAAGATATTACGTTGGTAGCACCAAATTTTAGGCAAATCTTTGTTCAATAACATCCATACTAAAAATCGCAGAACACACTTTACGTGGGCTAAACAAAATTGACAGCTGTAAACAAACTAGAGTACAGTGGTGCCAACTACCCATCAAAAAAGAAATCTACTTTGCGCGGAACTTTTAAATGACAAATTCCGTGTACTTTTTTAACAGAATATTTCCATTGCTTAACGAGTAAACCTGATCTGTAATAATACCCAAGGTTCATACGTCTGCCTTGCGTAATCTATATACATACTTAAAATTTTAAAGGTACTCTAATTATATAAACTTTATGAAATTATCGTTCGCAACGTAGGGAATCGAAATTTAAACTGTTGTTTTGAACGATTTATAGACGAACAGATACCCGAAGTAACATGTGTTGCATTTATCGCTATCTAAATTTACAGATATCCAATTATGTTCGACTTTTCAATGCATAGTACCTACGTAACTCTTTCGTTAATGTATAAATAACATCGTTTGGATTGGTATGGAAATGGCCTGAAAAAAATTAAGCAGGAATTTTGAATACCGCTTTGGAAACATTTACAACTCGTTCCAAAATTAATTCAGCTTTTCCAGGTGTATTACAGAGAGCGCCACTTGTATTTCGGAATAGTCAGTTTTAATTCAAAATGTCTAAACTGTATTTCAGAACCTCAGGAGTCAAATTAGGTTATAAAAAATTATACCAAAAAAACACCAAACTTTTATTATATCACTATTGTTCCTACTCAAAATTCTTTTGGTAATTGTTTTTATTTAATAACTGTGAAATACAAATTAAATTTTCTGAAATCAATTGACATTTTCGAAAAAACTCTTGAGAAAAAAATCTAGAGCTACTTAGATGACTTACATTGTATTTTGACCTCTTAATATCCCTTACTCGACTCTAATAAACTTTCTGTATTTCTCTATAAAAACGGACTTCATTCGTTACTAAATAATTTTTTTCTCATTAATTGAAAAATTGAAGATGCACTTTAACTTTTGCAATTAATCTACTCGAAATGGCAGTTCATTAATTATATCTAACTAAATTGTCATGTATAGTTGGATATGCAAAACTAAGATTAGAGGTCCAAAATTATTTTGCATGACCCCAAAAACATTACGTCACTTTTCGCTGTAAGTAACTCATATTTTGTTATTTCTTTTTCTATATAAAATTTATTTTCCATTTTCTTGTTTTTCTTTTGACTTTCTCAGAGTTGTGGTATTCCGAATCAATCTTATAGCTTCTATTTCTCATCAAAACGATATTTTATTATGCTGAACCTTCAATGTAGAACGAATCCCAATTTCCACTATTTGTTTCCGACTACTAATTGAGAAAATTAAGTCAATTGGTTTTAAATACAGTTCTTATGGGTTAAATATAGCTCGGCATAGCCGCCTGTGAGTAATTTGAGCCTGTCCAGGATCTTCGGCTTGCTTATATAAGCATCTAATAAAATTGACTTTGACGACATACACTTCTAAATTATAGCTAATAACGGCTTAACCCTTCTATCTATAATTGACATTGGATTTACAATAAAATAACCAATCCCGGCTAGCGTGGTATGAATAAAACTTTTTTGTAGTGACGCCACATACGCCAAATAATAGGCAACTCCATAGTGAACATTGTCATGAAGAATTTCTCAATATTTTTACTAGATCGATTATCGACCTTATGTACTTTGGCCATAAGTGCCAAAAAATGGCTTCTTATAGAATCATAGAACTGATATATTTCAATTTATAGAACAATATTGACTTTTATAGTAGTTAATAAATTAAAATTATATCTATATGTCTATAATAAACCACCTGTTTCGCAAGCTTTATTTATAACAAATTTCCCTATAATATTATATTCCTAAAACTTTGTGTGCATATTCTCGAGGTTGATTAGAATAAATCGATCATCATTTTCAATTTGTAACTGATGCATTTCAAAAGAAACCGTCACTCCGCAACTTCTGTCAGCTAAGTTCAAGATTTTTGTTTTTTGTCGATCTTTCACCAACGAAAGTAACAATAAACGTGTTGGATCAAGGGTGAACCTGAGATTTATATTCTAAATAAACGTACACCTAAACGTATCTGATGCGAAACAGAACACAAACATATTTATATTTATAGGTGTGTTTAACGTGTTCTGTTTATATTTTTAAACCGTTTGCAATGTTTACGCCGTTCCTATGTTTAAAAATTAAACAAAAATACTGGGATATGAATCGAAACGTCTGTTTTGCTTCCATGGCTGTGTCAAGGATGAATCCAAGTTTAACTAACAGGAAACTGTTTAAAAATGTTTTTGCACGGCTGACTTTGCCACCTTTACTGAATTTGTTGGGGCGGTAAGTAGAATTTTATGAAATTATGTAAAAAAATGTCTCTTGACTTGATTGCAAATAAAAATAAATATAGTAGCTACTTTTCGTCCTTGACCTAGTAATTTCAATGTTTCGCCGTCGTCTGACAGTATGTGTATTGAAATCTGATATCGGCAGTTCAATTCATGAGAACGGTTATGCAAAAAATAGCGATTCCGGCGCGTTTGGTAGTAATAAATAAAGTTGTAGGATCTATCTATATTAAGGACACAGGTTTTACGTTACATATTGTAAACAATGGCGTCATTCATGAGAATACGGCGTCTAAATTTAAAAAGGACCGCCTCGTAGCACTTGTTATTACACAAACTGGCATAACAGAATGAGTTTAAGGAATCTCTTGGTACATAGGGTGGTCTTAAATAAAGTAGCGCAATCTCAAAGCTGTTCCGTCTGTTAATTAAATGTTTCGTCTCTAACTTTGTATGAATTTAATTAAGATCATGTCAAAACAACGCAAGCTGATGAAGTAACGAGATTTTTATAAAAGATGTCCTACCTGTAATGTGTGGGTTCTATACTCCTAGGCAACCTCTCGTCGACACTATCATCTTCAATTGAAAGAGCAGTAGACGTTGCTTCACTTATTCCCTGATTTTTGACTAAGGCTTCGGGTGTTTCTTCCCCATTGCAGTATCTAGGAACTAAAAAGAAAACTATGAGACCCACCAGAACAGCCAAGAGGAGGGCTCCTATTGCCATTAGGACGCAGAGGGGTTTCGATATCACTAGGCCTTTGCCGGAGCTCCGGTTTATCGTGTATTTTTTCTGGTTGGAGTTGTTCTCCAGGTCCACCGTCGTGGGGACGCCTACAAAAAGAAACAATTATGAATCAACCGAGTTTATTGCGGGGGATGTTTTGTTTCTGAAGATTAAAATAAGGAAGAGTTACTATTTGGTTTAGCTAAAGTACAAGTATTTCATTTTTCTACAAGGTTAACCTAAATCTGTATCTTCGATGGTTCTAAATTAGTTGATCAAAAGCTGTTTCACTAAAGACCTAAAGACTTTCGAGTGTGTGAGAAATCTTTTTTGAAAAAAATTACTTTTTGTCCCAACCTTACTGTTACACCCTTTTAAACTACATGTAACTAATTCTTACTTTTCTTAAGTTGTACCAAGATAGCAGAATTATAAAAAAATGAATTTTTTAAGCTACACGAATTGTAAAAAAACACTGTATTTTCACTTTTTAGCCGGCTACGTTTTATAGCACCTCGAATTACACAAAACTGAAGTAAAGAATTTATATATTGTTCATTTCTCTTGACCTAGTTTGAGGTAAAATCTGTTTAGAATTTTTAATCTACCAACAAAGAAGTTTATATAAAGTTTTATTGAAAGGTTATTGGAATATAAACTATGACTTTTTAGACAGATTCTTTTTAAACTGTTGTTATTTTTCAGTAAGTCTTGCTTCGGTCGTCTTTATTTAGGATATTGTCTTAGCATGAACTTCTAGTATAATATTAGATAATCAGTTTTGTGTATTTACAGGAAATTGGACCTAAAATGACATTAGAATTTGAATTTATCGAGATATTTTGGGCAAAATATTCTGCAATTTTCTCATAGAAAACTCGCGCAAGTTCGTTAATTTTATTTTAATATATTAAGTGGTTCGAACAAGCTTTTAATTGACATAATACTAGTACAAATAAATTTATCGGGGTCGTCCATGCTCTTAAATATACAAACCTATTTAAAAATGGGTTAAATAGCAATTTATCGTGCGATAGAATCCTCAGACATCTATCATAGAGCGACTTCTATCAAAGCAGCGCCAAATAAATTAATACATTCGCAACTTTTACCAATTAAGTCCACATGAATTAACTGCAGTAACTAACAATATATTAATTAATTTAACATTGTCGTTGTGTGAACTTGACTGTTGGCGTTAAATAAAGTTTTATCACTGTTAAAAATAGACACCTATAGAAAAACGTGCCAGCAAACATGATGTGCATCTAGTGGGTTTTAAAATTCCGATAGTTGCATTTCAGTTGTTTATTGCGGGATAACACGCATTTTACAGCTAATTCTGGGATGGGCGTACTTTACTTACATTAGCAGTTATTCCGGAGGCAATTAGAATTTGCTAGAACTTCTACTAACAACTTACGAATTTCTACACGGCATATTTTAAATTTGACGTCTAATTAGACAAAATAATTATTCTTTGTCAGGAATGCCACAAAATTCGAGGGGGAGGGGGGACACAAGACCGAGTTGTCTTGTATAAATAACACTTAATGAAAATAACACCAGATTTCATAATGGAGCAAGCCAACAGACATAAATCACCCAAATTCAGAGAGTCCAGGTGCCGCAATCTATACTGAGGAGCAATATTCGAGAATTGGCGGAACCACCACGACGGGTGATCGAACGTCGACTCGTGCAGTTCTATAATCAAAGCAGAAGTTTATGACCAGTGCGTGTCCACGACCAGAATTCAAGCATATTCATTGTCTTTCGATACCTTGAAGCCCTCTTTGCTTGTTTAGAGGGAAATAAGTCCCGAGGGTATACTCAGGGTTCCACATGGCAGGTCCAAAAAAAACTGAGAAACCAAATACAGTTTTTCTGAATTCGTTGAACCAAATGCATTGTAGAGCACTTTACTTGTGATATGGTTACAAATATAGCGGAATTGCATTAGATAACTGTTTAAAATTATAAAAATTAGAAGGATATAGGAATTATTATATTTCATAATATGCTGGCACTGTGTTTATAGTAATTAAGAAAGTTAAAAGAGGTGATACGTACTCTACGACACACGCTAGCAATTTGTCCAATTTATTAACTATCGTAATGTGATAAATAAAACAAACATGTCTAATGGGCTCATCAATGCTTAAAATATTAATTCAAGTTATTCAAAATAACTAAAATATATTGAATTTTTCTATTATATATTTTTAAACTTTTCTGTTGTAATAAACTGATCTTTAATTTAAGACAATTTAATCAAACTTTAAATATCAAGCCATTGATATAACCCGGATAATTACTTAGTATACTACTAATATATTTTCAATTTTTGTCAGAAGAAAATAACAAAATACTGTGTATCGTTCTCAAATTTGGAGTGGGTACAGCTATATTATATTTATTTCAAAACAATCCAACGACGGTGGAGTGAATGAAGATTGTAAAAATTCATTACAAGTACGGAGAGTGTGTAGCTGAGAGTGTGCGCAAATTATGTGGTATTTTCGGTAATAGGAACGCTCCGAATGAACCAATTGTGAAAAGATTAGTTGTTAAATTTGAACAAACATGGAAATTGAATGTCTACCCTTAAAAACATGTAAAAACTTTGCCAACTTTTTAATTAATACAATCTTATTCCTCATATGAAATCCTGCGTTTCTTCTGGGACACCTTTTAGCTATGCTAGTCTAATTCAAGAGAAATTTGTGTAATAGACAGCTTGGCTCCGCTTTGTGTTATAAATAAGTATATAAATTGCATGAACATTATAAATACTTGTATAAATTAATAGTAGCATTGTCAGGGTTAAAAATAAAAAGCACGTTTCAAGAAATATTTTTTTGGCTGATTCATATTTTAAAAAAGTAGGTCTGCCAAAAAATGTGGATTTAGCTTTTTTATATTAAAATGACCTTCGGTTTTATTTTAATTTCATAGGAAGTACAATGTTTATTTTGCAATTATAAACATACAAATATTTTTTAGGACGGAATTCGCATAAAATAAATAATTTCTAGAGGTTTTCTTCGCTTCTGATTCATAATAATGTATGGATGTAAACAGACTAAAATTAAAATCGAATTTAGATCGCACTGATACATGTGGTCTACTTACTAGAATTAACTGTAAACTGTACCAAGGAATTATACAATAAATATTTTAAAAAACTATCTGAAATATTCGATATGTAGGTATAGCAAATCTCAGAACATTTTTTCTAAAATTTTACAATTTAAAAGCTCTGTTTATTTTAAATGTATTTTAAGCTGAAGGAAACTGTTGCTACTATAGAAAAAAGACCCCCCCAGTTGTGTAGACTGGCTGTATTTTGTATTCATCCAATAATATTTAAACAGTTTGTGTCAGCGTACGAATTCATTAGATTTGTATTAGGTATATCCGGGAAAATATATTTATATTACCGGTACTAATGTATATGAAAGCCGTCAATGAGCATTTCTAGTAACACAAAGATAATAAACCGTTGGAATAGAAACCTACTGAGCTGAATTTTTTATTAATGTTTGCGCTTAATTTAAGTCAAAAACAAATTTGCGTACACTGTGTAATTGATATTTTACTGGGCTTCTCCCAATACAAATAAATTCGTAAAGCCTCGAATTTTGAGATACAGGGTGTTAAAAATTCTTGAAAATATTTGGTAGTTTTTGATTTCAACAAAATATATGGATTATAGGATACACTGTATATATAGGACACGCTGTGTATCTTTAAATAAAATAAACGAACGGGGAATTTTCAAAAATCCCTTGGTACAAATCTCGGTTTCCAAAATAAAAATGTTTTTTTTTTTTAATTTTTTTTAACAAACATTCAACATTTAATAATATTTCTATTAGTTGTTAATAATTTATAATAATTTGTTTCTCCACATATTTAATAAAATTATTGCATTAATTGTAACAATTAAGTTGCCATTACAAAATGTCAACCGCCTACTAGATAAATTACAGTTCGATAAAATTTTTATCCTATGCCAATCATGCCGTGTAGTTGATTTTAAATAATTGTTTTTCTCAGAAACCGTAAATTTTACAAAAAAAAATACAAGAGACTTTTTCTGTTTAGAATGAATCAGGCTATCTGAAATAAATGTAAGGTAGTAGTAAGAAAAAAAGTTACGTATGTAACAAGTCTTACAACCTTATCCTTAGGGAGGTAGGGGAAAGTGAATAAATTGCTTAGTGAGTGCCTTCTCGATAGCAGGAAATGTCTAATTAATTTCTTTTCTGTCACTTGTTTGGCGTTTCAGGAAAAAAATTGAAACTACTTTTTTGGCACCCTCTTTAAGAGGTTGTATCTTCACAGGGGATGTTTTTATATGAAAGACCCACCTTATTTTTCGACAGGGAATCACCCCCTGAATTTTTTCGCACTTATTTATTTCCACCCTGTATACTTACATGATTTATCACACAGGTCAATTACTGAAAAAATTACTTTATTCATTGATAGCTAAATATATTCTCCGGGATTTTTCAACTTTTTGGCGATGTATGTAATTTTTGTGTACATAGTTTATACAAATATGAGTATTTGGGCGCTGTTCATAAAAAAAAACACTTGCCCAACGTTTTGATAGAAGAAAATCGTAGAAAAGTAAGAAATACAGCCTAACTTTGTCGAATTTAATATACCAAATATTTTTGTAACACCCTGTGTTAAAATCAAAATAATGTATGCTTCTAAAAATCATTTTTGAGTGCAAACCAGTTGAAGATAAAATCCTACGGACACAGGAGACGAAAATAAAATTTACCTTGATTGTAATAGCTAACCATTCTCGAAGCTGTGGCTAATTATCACAGAAAACACACAAACCCGTCACTCTAATTAGCGCATCTCACCGACCAGTCAAGTGTCAGTTAGGGCCAACACGGTGCACCTTCTCTGAGGCGTCGCGTCACTCGAACGTCCCGACGCGCTTTCCGGAATCACTGCTAACTTTAACCGTTTGGCGGAAAACTTTCGTCAGTAGCCCGATTGGGGCGATGCGATGGTAGGATCCGTGGGACAGGCTTTCCGCGCATAGCGGCAAAGCCAGGTGGACGGTGGACGTACGAAG